TGTGAGCTCAGTACTAGGAGCTATGCCTCCAGGGGTAAGTGTGGCTATTGTGCTGCTTTTACCATTTGGGAAAGACACTGTACATGGAGTCCTTGGATCTAGAGATAACAGAAATTTAAAACCTGGCCAGGAAGTGGAAGAACACAGGAAAAGCTGTTAATGGAGAAGGAAGAACAAATGGGGAAGGGACTTCAATTTGAGCAGATGGAGAGCTAAAGGGGGCAAAGTTCTGATGGAGAAAATTAGCCTGGCCTATTAACAAAGGAAAGGGACTGGGTGCATTTGGTTACTGGGGTGAGCTAGGGTCTGAATGGGGCTGCTGAAGTCTTTGTCACTGGAGGGGCAATCTGGGTCGCATGGGAAGACTGCTAATGCTTAGGACAATGACCTTATCGAGGGTGATCTGACTACAGAGAATCTGCTGGAAATCCAAGATGACCTTAGTTTCAGGCAAAGATTGGAGACCAGGAATTTCTGGACTTCCTTGCAAATCCTGAAACTATCTTACTCTTACCTTGGTGTATTCTGTCTTAAAAAAGATGAGATAGGTAAAGTGAATTTAGGGGTAATATGCCAGGTTTCAGACAGACACTCCATAGGTGGTTAACATGCCTCTAAGCAGATCTCAGCAGGAATATGAAATAAAGTTTATGATAATAAACAAGATAGTAGAAAATGAAGGTAGAGGTGTTAACTTTTGTTCTGCATTTAGTTACCCACTGGGCATCTGTAGACCCAGCTGCTAAATCCCTCACTATGCACACAAGTCCACAAAGATTGGTTAGTTCCCAAGAGTTCAGGAAGACCCAGCAATAAAAACCTGAGGCAAGGAGCACAAGAACACAGGCAATCGGCAACAGAGAGCTTTGGAAGCAGATTCCTGAGCTCTGGCTTCCAGCTAAGTTTGAGTCCAGGCTCCAGGCACTGCAGGCAACAGGCCAGCAAGGCACCATCTCAAGAGAACTAGAAACCAGAAAAATGGCTTTGAAATAAGGACAAGTCACACAAATCCACAATTCAGGTTTTGCCTAATGGAGCTCTAGGGTTAGCAGAAGGGGGTAACCTTAGCTATTGTTGCAGGTGCTCATCATCCCTGCCTGGTACAGGGCTGCATTCCAAGCATGGGGACTAGTGGGAAAGTTTTGGGAATGTGGGCTCTGCGCGACGAGAATCAAAAAGATCCTTAGAGCTTCCTATTTGCTCTGAGTGAGGTCTATGGAGAGAGGACATCTCAGTGTCATCTTCTTGGCAACAGTGTATCTCTCTTGACTCTTCCTAATGTAGAGAATGATCCTCAAGGATAGGAAACCATCAGACTCTAGCAACAAATAATGTCTGAGCCCAGATAAACAGTCAGGTGTTGAAAATAGATGTCCTCTAAAAATGAACTAACAAAATGAGTTATCCCTTCTAAGCTGAAACTTATAAAGAGTTCTAAAGAGAGATCTCAGTAAATAATTTCAGGAGTGGCTCATATTCATCACCTTGTGATGTTTTTCAAGCATAGAAGGAATTAAAATTGAGCCTATATTTCAGCATGGTACATATTTTACTCATTTGCTTAATTTGCTAAATATTTTCATGTCACATGGCTTGCAGAAGGAAGACATGGAAACGTTTAGAAGTAGGACTCAGGGCATTAACTTCAAACACCCACTTCTGATATTCCTGCCAAGAAATAACAAAATATTTGTCTCTGAGATAGTTAACCTCTCTTCCATACACAATCCACAGCACATCGCTTTGGCAGGCTTCATGAAATTCTATGTTCTCCGCAGAGGATGGTAATCTTTCTGCTTAGGATCTCAGCTTTCCCACGAAGATGAGAAACACCAGGAACACACACACACCACTTTCCAACAAATCAGCTTGTCTTGAGATGATTTTTCATCCAATTTAAGGGTAAATGTCAGAGAAGTGTTTAACTCTATTGGAACTAACCAGCCAAACTTCCAAAGGTAGAAAATAGATACAGTTTGTAGCTCTGGTGGGCATGGGGTCTTTATCTGCACTGATTCTCTTCCAGCTCCTGGGATGCAGGTACCAGAGGAAGGATAGATACCTTTACATGTCACCCTAGTATAACAAGGTGGGACATTTTATTTTATCTTGCAAATTTCTTTCTCCCCCAAATGACTCTGGGTATATTACATATAAAACCAACCCCTGGCTTTTCTGACATGTTTTGCCCAAGTTGCAGTTATATACACCTGTGCCAATTACCAGTAAAAGGTGATTACTTATTCAGGAGGAAGGAGCTTTAAAGAACAGTGGGACCCAGTTCCATATGAATGACACATTTTATCTGTTTTTCAAGTAATTCATGGAAAATACTGACGTAAAGTGCCAATTATTTTTTCCCTATGAATAGGGTTGGCAGTCTTACTGTATACTTTAAAAGTCACTTACGGTTTGCTCATATTTTTTTTTTTAATTCCCCAAGGGGAAAGGATGTATTTTCTTCACTGTAAAGATTAAAGTTAAATTTGACTTCACATTCTGTAAAGGGGACTCTTGGAGGCATCCCATTCTCACATCTTCCGGGATATCATTACAAGTGCAAGTTTGGTGATTGATGTCTCCTGGGAGAACCCTTCAGAGAAGGCTGCATTCTGGTTAAAATAACAAAGTACTCCTCATCCTCTGGATGCATTTGAGAACCATTTGCAGGTGGTCATTGTTTACCCTGCTAAAAGTGAGCCACTTGGTTTGAGGCAGCTCATTTCGGACCTGGGCTGAATGCCATGCCTGAGCAATTCTCTCAGCAAAGCTGCCAACAGACTCATTCTCATTGTTTTATTCGAATGAGCATTAGCTGCTGCTGCATGCAAGCCTAAGACCCTCTATTAGAAAACGGTTCTCTAGACCCTCTTAGTGAAGCGTGGTGGCTGTAGAATTTGGGGGAATGTGGATGATCTCCAAAGGGCACACTGTTGTTTCTTACCAAACGATTGTACTTTAGACTCAAGCAGACATAGTGGGGAAAAGAAGGAAAGGCAAGGTGGCAACATGTTTGGCTGCTGTCCTGGGCAGCTGTGTCACTCAGACACCCAGGAAAGGATACAGGCTGTGGAAAAACAGTGGCCCATACATTTACATTACTTAGAGGGCACGCAGTTCTCCAAAAGCCATCAGCACTTCTAAACCTCTTCAGAAGAGCTCAGAGCAGTACCAGCACAGGGCATGGGGCTGTAGTTTCATTTCTGAGGGGTAAAGAAATATGAAAAAATTGAGATTTGCAAGACCCTGCTTTCAAATTAAGTCTCCCTGATACAATATGATAGAACCAATGAAAACAAGAACAAAAGCATGGTAGAACTTCACAGTAAGATGATATTAAATCAACACTAGCTATTATAATGTCTTGTTTTCTTCAAAATAGCTGTTCATACCATCACAGATAATAAAATCAAACAAAGCAGGATAATACCATTCCAACTAATGAATGAAAGCATTATAAGGCTTCAAAGCAATGTAATGGGGAGTCATGATTACTATAAACTCTTACGTACTCTTACCATTTCTTATACTAGGGAGACTCTACGGTATTTATACATGTGAGTTTGATTTTTTTAAAATTTAATTTTACTCTTTTTTAAATGTACAGCACCCAGTATTCCCAGGCAATCTGCCATCCAAGTACTAACCAGGCCCAACGCTGCTTAGCTTCTGAGATCAGATGAGATCGGGCACGTTTAGGGTGGTATGGCTGTAGACTTTTTTTTTTGAAGGTAGTAAAATACAACAGAACAAGATAGAACAAAGCCAACTGAGACAGCGTAGTGAAATTGGTACAGAACTTCACAGCAGGTTACCGGGATAACAGTAATAGGTATCACAGTATATCTCGTTATCTTCTCAATAGTTGTTCTTTCAATCACGTATATCAAAATAAAATGAAATACAGAACATTATAGAGCTTATCAAAACAGAATATTGAATAGAGAAGTACCATTAATCAGAATAAAGCAAAACGTAGTAAAAATATTTGTCTTTACGGAGATGGTAGAAGGAAATCCCCCTTATTTGTATATTGCATATGGTCAACCTCCCAAGAGATGCTCAGATCTCTGGTTCCCATTTGCTAATGTGGGGCAGGGAAAGTGGGATATTTGACTCTCAGCCTGTACACCGATAGGCTCACTATTGCTTAGCAGGTAGGCAGGCTGGTTACTTGGTTTCCCAGTGTGCTAAGTTCCAACATGGTGCGGATCTCAGGAGACACTGGTGGCTCTCCCCCTGGAAGGGCCACAGCCTGCCACACCACAGCCACTTACTAGGGAGGCTAGCTGATTGCTTAGTTTCCCAGCATCCTAAATTCCAACATGGTGTGGATCTCAGGAGGCACTGGTGGTTCTCCCCCTGGAGGAGCTACAGCCTGCGTTTGATTTATTTCACTTATGAGTATGGTCTCAAGTTGCATTCATTTATTTATAAATATCTCAATGTGATCATTCTTTATAGCTGAGTAGTATTCCACTGTACAAAAATACCACAACTTTTTTATCCATTCCTCAGTTGATGGACACTTAAGTTGTTTCCAAGATTTGGCTATTACAAATTGTGCTGCTATAAACATGGGTGCACATATATCACTGTGGTATGATGTTTTCAGTTCTTCTGGGAAAATGCCTAAAAGTGGAATAGCTGGGTCGAATGGAACTTCCAATCCTAACTTTTTGAGGAATCTCCAGACTGATCTCCACAGTGGTTGTACCAGTCTACACTCCCACCAACAGTGCAGGAGAGTTCCTTTTTCTCCCATAGCCTCTTCTTTGTCTTTTTGAGACAGAGTCTTGTTATGCAGTTCAGGCTGGCCATGCACTCACGTTGTAGCACAGGCTGGCCATGAACTTACAATGATCCTCCAGCCTCAGCCTCCCAAAGTGCTAGAATAACAGGCGTGTGACATCATGGCTGTCTCCTGATGAGGTCTTCTTAATAATACCATTTTGAGTTATGATTCCCCCTTTCCTTTTATTTTCTCTATTTTTCCTCAGTGTGATCTGGAGAACTCAAGTTCCATGCACAGTGTCTGAGCAATGAAGAATGAACTCAGTCAGTCCTGGTGTAAACAACAAGGCAGAATCTGGAATCAAACCACTACCATTTAAGCATCTACTCCTCTTCCAAAGGACAAGCCTGCCTGGACAAAGAGTGATTTGTGGTGTTGCTCTGGGTCCCTGTCCATTCAGGAAACAACTGATGCCAACGTTTTCTTTAAAAAAGGTGTACCTTTAATAAAGCTTATAGGAGAATCATAGAGTTCAAAGTAGGCACAAAAATTACCAGAGTTACAAGCAAGATGTTACAGCAATCAATACTGTTACTAGGAAAACAAACAGACGCCATGATGCTGGTTGCTATGGTCATCCTTATTCGCTTGTTAATTATAATCACTGTAATATTTTTCCATTGGTTCATTTAATTCAGCTTGGCAAACATCTAGACTTTATCTTTGATTTTTGGTGATGATTTGCTCATTCGATGTTGTTTTTCTTTCTTTTTCAACCAATGATGTTGGGCAAGTTTCAGTTTCCTCCATGAGTTTCACCTGTGCCTGGAATGCTGCAGTTTCTCACATCGAACAGTACATGGGAATCTGATCTACTTCCTTTAGGATAATGTCCTCTGCCTGTTGGAGGCTTCCAGCGATTCGGGACAAGTAATGTTAATTTTGTGGTAAGACTATGTCATCTGTAAATCCTTTTCTAATCTGATGACTCTCCTTGAAATATTTATAGTCATCATGTGAAGGTCTCAAAAATTCTTCCAAGTTGGTGGTGGTTTGGAGTAATGGACTGAAAACTCCCCTGTATTTTCTAGAAACATTGCATTGTGTCTCTCAGATGTCATTTCTTGCAGAGTCTCCCTAATTTGGGAAAAAGAAAACAATTTTTGAATTTTAGTTGAGAACAGCATGAAGATGATCCTCCTAGAGAAAGTACAGTATATTTAAAAACAATAGAAAAGGGATTTTCCTCTTCTCTCCCAAAGAATGTAGCTTCTTATTCTTTCTCAGCAAAGTCTCTGACATCTGAACTCTAGCAACTACCACGAAGTTTAATGTAGTCTTTTTCCATTATCATTGGTACAATTGTGAACCGTGGATAAGTGTGCCTTAGACCAGAGGAAATAAGATTTTGAAATTTGCAGAAGCAGAACCTTTAGAAAGCTGTGTAGTCTAAACAAGAGAGAAGTCGGCAGTCAGAATACAAGGATATCAGCATGAGATAAGACCGAAGCTCAGTGGCCAAGAAAAGACTGAGCAGTCCAGTGCCATAGGCTGGAAGGTCAAAGAAAATAGAAGGTCAAAACTTGTTAAATGTGTAGAATTCCACTCATGGGTCAATGGGCCAAGGATTGCAGCTCTGACTTTTCCAAATACCCTTTCTACAGTTACCGCTGGGAAAGGAATCGCTTTCATGGTATATCCAGCCCAAGACATGAAACTGAAGGCTGATAATAAAAGACATTATAATTCAACATTAAATGGTTCTATTGGATAAAATTTTTCTCACGATCTCTATTACCTAATCCGACCTCTTTCTGTTATTTGTTCACTTTTAAGTGTCTAGCATAGACTATTTCATGCTTTCCAACTTCTCAGGCCATCTGAAAGCTTTGGGTATAAGACATCTCTAATCTCAAAGTACATCAACCATATTAACATTGCAAGTTTTGAGAAATGGCTACTTCCTGTCTAGAGCTTTTCCTGGCAATGAGTAGCATAAGAACAGCCCTTCCTCTCTAAAAGAGAAAGCTGAGAGAAGAAAGAGGTTAAGATGGAACAAAAGGCAAGAAATTGGTTCTGATGGACAGTTAAAATTTCAGCAGTGTAAAAGAGAGAAAATTTAACAGTGGACAGTTACACATTCATGTGCCTATTCAAACATTTTTAATTTATTTATAAGATACCAACCATACATTCACAAAGAGATCCATTGGGAAAAATAGTGGTGGTTCTTAACTCTCTTCATATTGAAAAAGCAGAAGTGTTCGGGCAGAAACCAAGAATTCTCAAGAAGGATCTAGGCAGTTCCTACCTCTTCCTTCATGATCTGCATGTGAAAACACAAAGACCAGTAGGTTGAAATCTGGGTTTCAGTTTTATAATTCTGAGCAAGTCTCTAAATTCTGCTGGCTCTCAATTTCCACCACCATAAGATGAGAGATTTTATGATCCCAGCTCGGTAGGAAGGGGATCATTATGGTAAGTAGATATTTGTGGGAGAGAGCAAAGGAATTAGCATTTTTCAAGATCCTAAAGGATCAATCTATTCCTATATATCCATCTAATATGTACTTAGTGAGAATTTGTTATTACAACTACTAATCATTAAGCTATATTACTAGTTATTTTTAGCATACTATTCTAGACACTAGCATGTCAAACAGGCGGTCTCTGCATCTTCATAATCTATGATGTAGTGGGGATGAAAGAGAACAGACTAAGTAAGATGGCACCAAAATCATAAAATCATAACATGGTGTAATAAAGTATGGTTACCAGTAAAGACAAATGCTATAGGAAAAGTCAATCAGGATGAAAGAGTAGATACTGTGGGTAAAAGTGGCATATATTTTGGATTGGGTCATTATATGCCTTTGGGAGAAGGTAACATTTGCACAAAAGTCTAGGAGCCAAGAAATATCCCAAGCAGAGAGAGACCAGCCTGTGTAAAGCACACTGAACAGCAGGAATATGTGAAGCTAGGACATTAACTGGAAGTGATGTCACAAAGTTTGGTACCACATCTATGGGTAAACATAATGAGTACCAGTCTTATCTGTGAGTGTAGAGACAGCCAATGGAGGGTTTCAGCAGATGACTTATATGAAGTGATGGATGGATCATTATTCACAAAGTGTAGCTGTGTATTGGAAGGCTGGGGTTAGACAATGGGGAGGGGAAGAACAAAGCTAATTATCACAATGCCATCATAACAGATCAGGTCAGAAGTGATGGTGCCTTTCACTACAAAGTCAATTGTGGAGATGCTAAGAAATGAAAGGATTATCTGAAATACTGTTTTCTATGGAGTCAATTGAGAGGTAGAGAGTGAGGAACAGAGAGGAAAAGAAAATCATGGCCCTATGTTTGGGTCTGAAAAAAATACTGGAGCCTCTTTCTGAAATAAGAAAGACTCAGAGTAAAAAATGGTGTAGGGAGAGAAAGGTGAGTTCTGTTTGGGATGTGTTGAGTTTGAAATGTAAAACAATTGGAGATGTCTCACAGGCTTCTATAAAAGCTGACATGCTCCTAGGATAGTAACCTGTGTGTGTGGCAGCCGCATAAGATGAAGTGGGTGTCTGATCCAGTTGGGTTGAGGAGAGACTGTATGACCCACACGGAGGGAGATTTTATCCTGTGGGGAAGGAGAATCCCCAAAGACTCTACACGGGAGTTCGCAGTGTAAGTTCGTAGGTACAGAACACTCACTTGTCTACAGCTGGCATGGCTTGATGGTTACAGGAGCCAAAGAAAAAACTACCCTGATTGATGAAACAGATTACAGACAAGCCAGCAAGACAAACCATCAGAAAAAGTTTAACAGGGGGAAGGCAAAAAGGTTTTGGAAATTAGGGGCTTGATGTGCCCTTATAAGCTAGAGACTCTAAAAGCGAAGCTTGGGTCAAAAGCCTGAGCTTGTGATGTTGCTTTTGGAGTCTTCAGTGTCTGGACAGAGGAAGGAGTAGGAGAGAATTCTGTGGATACACACATAGAGTCAGACGAGGTAAGACCCAAACACAGGTTCTTCAAACCACCAATCTTAAGGGCTGACGGAAGATGAGAAACACACAAAGGAGAATGAATGGGGTGAGACTGCTTGTAAGTTGACTGACAGCTTCTGTGCTCTACAGTTAACTCAATCTTCAAGCAACAGTAACAGAACATGCATTAGGAACCCAGATGACAACCATACACGTGTACGGCCCTGTGGGACGGAGCATGGAATTCTGCAAAAGGGTAACATCTTAGCTTGAGTTCATCAGAAAATCAGAGCCCATCACAAAGTTCCTTTGCCTTTACTTCATCAGAGGGTGCAATCCCAAGTTGCAGAGAAGAGAGGGGTGAAATAGAGAAAGAGGTACCTTGGGATGCATCCTATAGTTGGTTTCCACTAGCTGTGACTGGCTGCACAGACCTTGGTTCAGGATAGTCCACCGGGGGGTGGAGGGTGGGGTGGATATGGCCCAGCATCTCCATCTCTGTCTCCAGCACCATCTCTGCCTCTACCTCCACCTCCACCTCCACTTCTGTCTCCATCTCTAGTTCATCTCCAACCTGTCGGGGCTTTGCCGTAGGGTGTATTAACCCTTTCACTCTTAGAGTGAACATGTGTGAAATCTTGGTGGGGGGTCCCTGTACCGACAGGGGAGCGGGGTGGGGGGGGTGAGAGTCACAGGATAGGAAAAAGGAAGGTAAGATAGGACTGTGCCAAGTGAGTCTGACTGTACAGACAAAGATGATGCTCTATTGATGGCTGAAAGAATAAACAGGCGAGTGTGTGATTCAAAGTAGTCTTAGAGGTGTCTGGTTTAGCAAATAAATGTAAAAGGGGTGAGGGAGCCTGAGGTTTTCTATTTATTAGTTTACATATATTTATTCAGCACTTGTCTCAGCTCTTGGCATACACATTCTGTGGCAGTGTTTCTTTAAAACACTGGTGTTTGAAAGAAAGTTTGCAAAAGAAGCTGATGCTGCCAGAGTTGAGTACTTTGCCTAACATCCAACCCTAGTAAGGGGTGTATCTGGCATCTGAGCCTAGCTCTGTCTAATTCCCAAACCTCTTCTCCTTCCCTCCATTGGTGGCTCTCACTAGCCTTTATTCTGTATCAGAATGTATTGAAAGAAAATCATAGATCAGTATTATTTTTTTCAGAACTTTATTCCTCTTTGTTAAATAATAATCATATAGATAGATAGATAGATATAGTTTTTATTTTAAATTTATTGGTATGATTTAGTTATACACAGTGATCACATTTGTTGTAGGGAATTTGTATCTGTACATTCTTCTTTCATTTTTTCCCATTCCCATCCCCTCTTTTCAAATCCCCTTCCTCTCTCCATTTGCAAAGCTTGGTTTTCATTTTATCCTTCTTTTCTCATTTTTTTTCTTTCCCTTCCTTCCTGTCCTCCTCTCCCTATTTCCCTTTTCCTTTTGAACAGTTTCTTCCTATGTCACAATATCTATTGTGCATTTACGTTCTTATTCACATTTTCAGGTTTTCACACTGAAGAGATAATGTGATATTTACACATGTGTGTCTGATTTTATTTCACTTATAATTATGGTCTTAAGTCGCATCCCTTTATAAATATCTTAATTTTATCTTTCTTTATGGCCAAGTAATACTCCATTGTATAAAAATGCATCTTTGTTATTTACTCGTTGGTTGAAGGGACTTTGGGTGGCTTTCAAGATTTAGCAGTTATAAATTATGCTGCTATAAACATAGGTATGCATATATTGCTGTGGTACGATGCTTTTAATTTTTCTGAGAAGACAAGTAAGAAGTCAAATGGGACCTCTAATTCTAGTTTTCGAAGGAAGGAATTTCCACACTGATTTTCACAGTGATTGCACTAACATACATTTCCACCAACAGTGAGAAGTGTTCCTGTTTCCCAAGACTCTCCAGCATTTGTTATTAGTTGTCTTCTTGATAACAGTTACTCCTTCTGGAGATCAAACCTGAGCATTGTTTTAATTTGCATTTTTTGAATGACTAGTGATATGAAACTTTTTTTCTGTATTTACTTCTCATTTGTACTTCTTCTGAAAAACGTTTATCTCAGATGCTCATTTTTTAATTGGATCTTAGAGGCTCTGATTTTTTCAATTCTTTATAGGTTCTAGATACTAGTCCTTTGAAGAACAGCTGGCATGAATTTTTTCTCACTCTGTGGCTTATGTTTTACTCCATTGTTGATTTCTTTGCTATACAAAAGCTTTGTAACCAGATGAGATCCCAGTTGTTGATTCTTTGTGATAGTTCCTGTGTGATTGCGGTTTTTGTTCGTAAAGTCTTTGTTTACACCTATGTCTTTCAGAGTTCTTATCTCATTTTCCACCATATTTAGTGTTTCTGTTTTAATATTTAGATCTTTGATCCAGTTTGATTTTAATTTAGTGAATGGTGAGAGGCATGGGTCTAGTTTTAGTCATCAGCATGTGCAAAGCCAGTTTTTCCAGCATATATTAGAGGGGCTGTCCTTTCCAGTGAAGATGTCTTGTCCCTTTGTCAAAGATGAGGAGGTTGAATGCATTTGGAGTTGTTTCTGCATCTTCTAATCTGTTTCATTGATCCTTGTATGTTTGTTGCCAGTACCATGCTGTTTACATCACACTAGCTCTGTAGTATAATTTCAAGTCAAGGATTTTGATGCCTTCTGAATTCCCTTTGTTGCCTAGAATGGCTTTTTACCAGCATTAGTTTTTAAGAGTATCCAAAGAGTGGTAATGTGTATCTAGGCTTGGGAATAATTACTCTACTTAGACAAAATAAAACAGACCTGAGGATTATCCAATGATTTAAAATCTAAGTGGGCATTCATTCACGCATTCTTATTTCACTAGTGTAAAGACTTCTTAGGATGCTAGATCTGATGGGGAAATGATTCTGTGGAGCTTGGAAATTTAAGCAGCAGTCAGTATGCAGGCAGCATGCTCATTAACCTCCTGACATTAGACAC